TATGCGGCAAGTTTTTTCTTTTCATCCTCTGGAAAGCAACGCTTCCGTGTTTGAGGCTGCAGGTTTGCTGTATCGAATTCTTAGAAGGAACTTAAATTATAGGCAATTCGAAGGAGAGTGGTGTAAAACCAAGAAGTGTTAGAGTTTGAGGCTTTTGGCTTGCTGCTGCGGAAACCTTATGGAGAATACTAACCAAGGCTCTAACTTTCCATTAGTTATCCATTTTCCTATCCAGGGAGGTGTCTCGAAGTTGCGGCTGAATTAATTTCCTTTTCGCTAACCGTGTTTATTTTGTTTTCCTGATCGCAGGAAGAAGAAAGAAAGACAAGAAGTAAGTTACATCGGTCCATCTCTAACGTCATCCCGGTCATCACACATTTTCCTGGTAAGCGTAAACGCCGCAGTCGGACTGTGCCAAATGTGAACGTATCACCGGACCTTATCGTGAATGTCAAACACTCTTCATGCCTTTTTATGCGAAACGGTAAAGGGCTGTGGACAAAGCGATGGTGCGTTTTACAGGAGGACAAATTACACGTGTTTAGAAGACCCGACGAAGTTTCACCTGTGTTGTCAATTCCTTTAACACAGTGTGAAATACGGCGCGCCAGCAGAAAGACTAAAAAGTTCAGTTTTGAACTGAATGTCCCCTCGGAGAAGGAGGATTATTGTTTCGCTACTGATACCGAGAAGGAAATGTTAAGCTGGATCAGGCTGCTGAGAGTCATAGCAGAGGAAGGAGACTCCAATAAGAGGTTAGTATCAGAGGAACGTTGCTTTTTATCAGCGATAGAATTGAAGGAGCTACGTCACAGTTTATGCATCTTGAAAAGTTTAGCCTAAATTGTTCAATTCGTCGTTTGTAACCCGTGTTAATCTGCTCCATCCTTAACCATCCTTGTTCCTTTATGGTTTATTAATATCTCTTTGGTACTTTTCTTTCTTGGTGAACTATTATTTTTAGGTTTCGTTCCACTTAAATTTGATCTTTCACGTGGCTAAATTATCTCAGAATACTGTGACTGAGCTCCTTTTAAATCTAGTACACTTTCGGGGAGAATTAATTACTTATCTTCTATTCAACTTTTGCAGTTTTACGAAAGAACTACGAGACATCGCAAATGGTGACGCTTTGCACGATTCGAATTGTAACGTTATCGAACAGCCTGCTTTGGAAGAGACAGCAAATCAGTCACCAGTCGATATCGGGCAGAATGAAAGCGAGGTTCACCAGAAAGACTCCAATTCTCCGGTGGAGTTGTACAAGAATAACGAAGTTTTAACAACAAACAATAGGAGTGAAGACTCGTCAGAACAAAGTCCTGTGAACTTCTCTTCAGCTGTGAAACCCACATCGCTTGATGGCGTGCTCAAACTTCTTCAAGATCAGCAGTTAATTCAACATCTTGGACAACAGAAATTTCACAAAGTTAAAAAGGCTCAAAGAGCGTGGCAGAGGTCAGCGGCTGCGGCTTTGAAGGAGCATCGTTCTGGGTCTGTTACCCCGGATGTGGAGAAAAGCGAACCTGCTTATCAAGAGGAAGCAAGGCGCAGGACCTTGTCAACGTCATCGACGCAAGCAGCACGTAAAGAAATTGGTTCCTCTCCATCACTGCCTCGCCTAGGTGCTAATGAAATTATAGAACAGTTTGAAAAACTTGCTGAAGAAGAAAGATTAAGAACTTTGAAAAAGGAAACTTTGTTAAAGAAGCGTCGAAACTCACTCACGCTTGAGAAAGATGTACTGAAAAGAAAGATGACCAAGGGACAAGAAAAGAAAAACACCGTGAAGAAGCTTCTTAGTAAAGATGAAACAGCGAGCAACGAGGATAGGCAACGCGTCGAAGAAAGGCTTCAACAAGTCAATCAAGAACTGGCAACCATTGAAAGAAACTTGATGGATAACAAAATGAGCGAAGCGCAAGCTTTGGACAACATCAACGTCATGAAAACAAAGACGGTGCGAAAGCACTCTTTTGTCAAACCCACTGGGAACAAAATGTCGGCGGATGAGAGGCGCAGTGAATTTAAAACTTCTTCCGAATCCACTTCCTCTCAGGGGTCTACAGAGGAAAAGCTCGAGAAAGATTCAGCCAATGCTCCACAGACGCTCGAGGCTGCACGCAAACAGAGCACTGCTGTATCATTGGCTGTCCTTGAGAAAGAACTCAGAAAGATTTCGCCGGTCGGTGGCCGAAGAATACCCCTCGCGGGTGAACCGAGACACGGTAGAGTCTCATTGTCTTCTGAGGGATCTCAAGAGGACTCTACTGTAAGGGATTCACCAATCTTCAGCAAGAAAACAGCTGTGGAAAAGCGAGTTTCAGTTGGCTCGGAGGGCTTCGCTGGCGATCAGTCCTCTCTTTCAAGGCCTAAAGTATCGGACAGCGCCGAGTTAAGACGGAAGAAGTTTTCCGCTTCCGGTTCCAGTGTGGCATTTCACAACGTGTCCGTTGAAATTCCGACTGAAGACGAAAACAAGCACGATGACGAGAAACCAGGAGGTCACAGATTGTCTACCTCGTCGGAAAGGAGCTTTGCTGAAATGTCTCGCAAGTTGTCAGTTAACTCAGAAAGAGGTTTAGACGAGCACCGTGCCAGCTTGATGAATGCTTTATCACAGATTAAGGTATGTAATATTATTGTAAGGTATCACTTAGATTAGGCAATAAGGAACTTTGAATCATGAAAGCAGTTATGTACCCCGGGGGGGGGGGGGG